GCTCCTGCAGGTGTGGCATGGCCATCTGCTGCATGCCTGCACCACTGCCTGCTTCCCCCCTGTCCTGCATCTCCCCTACAGCTCCAGTTATCTCCGGCTCACAGGCTCGCTCATGCTGCGTCTGCGGAACAGCAGGAGAACCCAACGCAGTACCGGCAGCATTAGGGTTTACTGCAGTGCTGACGTCAGCAGAGGGTTTCTCCTCTAGGGAAGGTTCCTGAGAAGCATCAAGAACGGGCTTGTAGATCACCTTGGCTCGGAACGGCCGCGCGTGCGAATGCTCCCCGATATAAGTCACGAGCAGATTCGTATGTGTCGCAGCTACACTCTCGTCTTCGGGCTGCTCCGGGCACCTTTCGATAACCCGTCGTGCACCGCAACCCTCCTTGCTACACCTAAAGTAACTTCTTTCATAAGGGCTCGCTTTTATCGCCTTTTGGCCATATTTTCGCCAGCGGTAACCATCCTCCACGTCGCCAACCACATCGCGACCGGTTCCCTCGACCTGCACGACCGTCATCGTAACCGTCTGTCCGTCTGCGTTTGCTCCCCCGCTTCCGCTTCCGCTTCCGCGCCCCCCGCTCCCCCTCCCGCCGGAATTCCCTCCAGTGCGCAACCTTTTTCCCCTTCCGCCGCTGCCCCCAGCGGGGGAAATGCTTCCCGGGGCGTTCCCACCCTCGCTAAACGCGGCGGAGGCACCCTTCGTTAAAGGCACAGAGTGAAGATTAGGGGATGTTGGGCTGACGGTGTTCTCTTCTTCCATCGACCGGCGCTTTTGACGGCTACCCGTGCTATTAGCGCTTCCCGTGCTGCAACTTGACGGCTCGACGGCTAAGGCGGAACCGCGCGCAAGAGCAGCGACCGCAGCAACAGCTGCGCTGTTAATCCCCGCGAATCCTGGGGCTTCCCCGCCGTAATTCCCGCTAGAGGAATTATCATCGCACTCCTCCTTAGGTTCCGAAACGGACCGGAAAAGGAGCGCGCGAGCCGCTGCCGAGTCTACTGCCGAACCTCCAGCCAAACCTGCAGCTGCTGCCGGAGCTCCGCGGTCGGAGGCGGATCGGATCATATGCCCGCGAGCCACCTCCGCAGCAGCGGTAGCGGCGGTAACTGCAGCGGTGGCGTTAACAGCAGCAGCAGCGAGATCCTTGGCGGCGGCGGTGGCGGCGGCGGTCTGCGCGTGCGCGTCTCCCCCAGCGGCGGCCCCGGCGGCGGCGGCAGCGACGCCTAAACTGCTGTCCATGACGCCGGCGGCGACCGCCGCTTCGAGCACGGCGGTGGCAGCAGCCATAGCGTCGGAGGAAAGCGCCGAGACGAGCCGCGCGAGATCCTCCGTGCTGAGGCTCTCCAGCAGCGCGAGCCCCGCTGCGGTGGAAGGATCCGCGGAGGCGGGGAAGGCGGAAGCGGCGAGATCCGCGGAAGCGGGGCAGGCGGGGGAAGCGGCGGCGGCGGGGGGAGCCTGGGGCTGCGGCACAGCGGAGTTTTGCGGAAGCTGCTGCTGGGACTGACGCGGCTTAACCGGGGAAGGCGGGATCCCGTCACACCCGCTGCAAAACCCGCCCATCTCCTCCGTGACTAAAACGCGGCCGGACGCTCCGCCCGCAGCTCCCGCACCGCCTGCGAAGTGGGGGACACGCGGCGGCCGGGGAGAGTGCCACGTGGATGATTGTGTTCCTCGCGGTAAACGATCTCCATCGTACTCCCATCCTCCGACGACCGCTCGACCGTCTTCTTGGCGGGACAGCGGGGCACGGCGCAGCGGAAATACGCGCGCGGATACGCCGCGCCCTTCGCCGCCTTCTGCCCGTACTTACGCCAGAAGTAGCCGTCGTCCAGCGGCTCGGCGGGAGCCGCCGGGGAAGCCGCCGCCGCCGGAGATGCCGCTGCGGGCGCCTTCTGCGCCTTCTCGGAAGGTTCTTCCGTCGAGGATGCTGGTTCCGGCTTCGCGGCAGTCGTAGCGGTGGGAGCGCCGAGAGGAATAGCGACGGAGACGACAGCGCTAGCGGCGGGTAGATCGGTTGGCGGAGACGGAATAGGAACAGCAAAGGAGGCGGGAGTGGCGGCGGCGGCGGCGGCGGCAGCGGGGATGGCGGCGGAATCCGCGACCTCGTTGTAGTCATTCTCGTTAAGGCTACTCTCGTCAAAGTCACGGTCGGGCGACGAAACGTCGACGCTGTTCGGGCTCTCGATCTCCGGAAGCGCGTCGTCCATATCCTCATCCGTCTGCGGCGCGGCGACGGACTCCGACACCTGCGGCTCGGGCTGCTTCACCTGCGGCGCGGGCTGCTGCTCTACCTGCGGCACGGCCCATTGCTGCATCTGCTGCTGAAACTGCTCGAAAAGCATCGGCGACGCGAGCGGCGCGGGGGACGGCAGCGGCCGGCTGGCAAACGCCTCGAACACGCCGGCAGCCGTCGGCGACGACGCGAGCGCGCGCTTGAGCGCCTCGCCAGCGGGCGACGCGGCGATGGCGGCGGTGGCGGCGCAGCGCGGCGTGTAGAGAAGCGGAAGCAGGCTCGCGAATAGATGCAGCCCCTGCTCGCGCAGATCCGCGGGGGTCCCGCGGTGGGGAGGGTTGACGCGAGGCTCCCCACGCCCGCGGATGAGGGGAAGGATGGGGGGAAGGATGAGGGGAAGCGGCGCTGGGGGATGGAGATCTCGAGGACTCCGCATTCGTCCTGGAGGAGCTCCTCCAGCTGCGCCACGGGGAGGGAAGGCGGGGACGGCGCGGAGGCGGAAGGCGCGTAGGCGGAAGGCGCGGAAGCGGCGGAAGCTGGTGGCGCAAGGCCTGCAGTGGCGGAAGGAGTGGTCGCGAAGGAAGGGGAAGCGGGGGCTGTGGGGAAGGTTACGCCGGATGAGGAGCAGAAGGAAGCGGAAGCGGCGGGTGCGGCGGTGGTGTTCGGTGCGGTTCGGAACGCGCTAGCTGCGCCGCAGTTGGCGGCGGGAGCAGTCTCCCACGTCGCTTGCGTCGCCACCGCCGTCGCCATGGCTGGCGCTGGGCCTGTTTGCGCGGCAAACGCGGCGGAGCCTGCGGCGGGGATTGCTGGCGCCGACGACGTTGCGAAGGTTGTCTGCTGCTGCGCCCAAATCCAGCAGGGAGAGGCCTCGTCGGGAAAAAACTCAGCGGAGGGTAAATCTAGCGCGGGTGGGAATGGCAGACGAGAGGCGTCGTTGCTGACGGGAGGTCTGTGAGGGGATCTGTGGGTTGGAGACAAGAGGAGTTGCTCCTGGAACAAGGCCAGCTGAAGTTGCTGCTGCTGCTGCTGCTGTTGTTGCTGCTGGTTGTGCTGGTATTGGTCCATGCGCGGACTCCACGAACAGGCTGTGCTGGATGACATGGACGGTAGGGTTTCCTTTGCTGCGCTGGCTTTCTCTCGGTGGTGAGATTGGGGGTGAGCTAGCAAGGCTAGGGGAAGACCATCGTCAACGCGCTGAGGTCGTGGGTACTGGAAGGATTTCGAAAAACAAAACCAAAAGAAAATGGTCGGTTGCTGGGTGAGGAGAAAAGGATAAGTGGGGCAAGAGAAGGGAGGAGAAGCATTCACACACGGCCCACGTTGGGAAATGGGAAAGAAATGATTTTGGCGTCGTTGACAGGTCAACCTCTAGACTATATGGTGCAGCCAAGGCGAGCCGAGAGACGCCGCAATGCATTCCACGTTCCAATCCGACGGTTCGCATGAATTTACATGTGGCTCGACGATCCGACGGCCGTGCCTTGCCTCTCGTTTCTTCGGAGACGCGCTGAGGGCTGCCAGGGGGCTTCGTAGGAGGAGACCCTGCGTGGACTCAGTCAACGATGCTCACGGACCAGGAAACACCATCCGTCCAAAAACCGTTACCGTAAATCGTGGGCTGGGGCACCACTGCATCAAAACCATCCCGTGTTTGCCATCCTAGCTTCTACCGAGGTAAGTTTTAGCTGGCGCAGTGGCCAACGTGCAATGAGGATACCATAGCTCCTGCCACCGAAAAACGTGAGTTCTGAGTGGATCCATGGATTTGGTGCCACGGGTTTTGAGCTGGGCTCTTCAATGAAATCTGCGTTTCCATGAGATTTTCCTACAGTGCCAAACAGCGCTCTTAGCTAAACAAGAACACCGCTTAACTGTCGATGGCCACCGAGCAGCTTCTGACGTGTCCATCCTTCAGCCAACTATGCATGATTCGCCCAACTGTTGCTGGAAGCTGTCAACTGAACGATTCCAAACAAAACGCGGAGCCGCAGGTGGCCTCCCTCCAACATCACCTTCGGAGCAGGTGGTGGGACGCGGTTGATTGGTTCGGTCCGAGCCAAGCGAACACCAAATGACCCAGGCTCGGTGACAGGTTGGTGTCACGTTACACCTGTAATACGCTACCAAACGATTTTGTATTTCACGTGATTCGAAATCGTCATACAGAAATGTAACATCCCCCGAGCAAACAAAACATTTGGCGGGAAATCTACAGCTACTCGCGCGGCTCGAGTGCTTTGGACGGAATGTTTGAGCTTCTCTCAGCACATGGTTACTCAGCTGTCACGTAGGAAACAAGGAAGTTGCCGCACGACATTGACGTGTGGCAAGTTGATACGCCGAAAGGATTTTCGACTTTTCGCCTAGAGTGGTCAAAGCGAGTCGTGACAACTGGTATGTAGGACTGTCTGTAGGAGGCAAGAGCAGGCGAGTTTCGCAATGTCAGTCTGTCCGAATATCTGGACTGTTTCGACGAAACAGTAAGGAAGGACAGCTGTACATTGTCCCAAAGCTGACATTTGTTTCGCTCAAACTCACTCACATTGAGCCGAAGCTGGAACTTAGGGATCCATATATAGCAATTCATTACCGAGGCTTCTACAGGGCGTATGACCCCAACAGTCAACCGCTGCGACTGTACCCTGACCGTGCGAGCCAAACCTTCTTCTGTGCCTTCTCGGATCTCGCTTTGACACTTGGTCCTCCGAAGCTTTACCCGAACCGTCTCATCCTACAAACCAGGATTAGCTTAGGGGTTCCTGCATTGCCTCGTCTCATTTCTTATATCGTGTCAAAGCGAGTCGTGACAACAATTTTGACATCACCATCTGCACTACTCGGCAGTTACATGTAGGGGTACCAAATCGACATTTAATATTGCACCAAACTTGTAAGCTTCAACTTATCAGGAACAATGTGTGATGTGGGTCCTCCTTACAGCAGAAGCTTTCACAGGATGAGTCCGCCTTTGACCTGCAATGAAACCAAGTATAGAGACAACAGCAGGACACCTCAGTTAGGTACGTGCCTCCCTTTCATGACACCAGAGATGCTTGTGCATTGGAAGAATTTGTAAGTAATAAATAAATGTTCCAACCAATAGTGAGTGACCACTAAATGATTCAAGTTACCAGAAGACCTCATTCCTCAGCAGACATCATCAGGAGGGCGGATGACCTCGATATGTCCCGAAAGATGGTTAATTAAACTGTGATCTAATCACTGGTCTCAGGCATGACAGACTTGATGTACGTTTGAGTGAACCAGAAACATAGAACTGAGGGATTGCGAGCTTGCGAGCAGGGGTAAAAAGAGTGAGATGATACAGTCAGAGTGAGAGGAGAGTGAGAGAGTGAGTGAGAGTGAGAGGAGAGTGAGTGAGAGTGAGGAGAGTGAGTGAGAGTGAGAGGAGAGTGAGTGAGAGTGAGAGGAGAGTGAGTGAGAATGAGGAGAGTGAGTGAGAGTGAGGAGAGAGAGAGAGTGAGTGAGTGAGAGAGAGAGAGAGAGGGGGAGAGAGAGAGAGGGAGAGAGAGAGAGAGCAACCATTTTGAGTCAGCGCCTCTCATCCGATGGATATCTAGTCTTTCTCATCATGGCAATCAGCTAGAGCTAATAACAGTTTGCATAATCACAGAGGCGATAGGACTCAAGAGGAAAGAAAAACCACGAAAATCTCAGGGCTCAGAGGCGATAAACGGCCCTTAGATATACACCCTTATGTCTCCCATCCCTCCCTCCCCGTTACTCCTTGCCGAGCAATTTCCCCACCTCGAGTCACTTTGTCCCATTCAAGATATCCTTTCCTCTTCCGCCAAAAAGCAGCAGAGAGGAGATTGAAAGAACCCAAGACCTCTCATGTTATTGATCTAGAACACCGCATTAACAGCCTGATTAATCAGGCGATGCTTCGGTCGGTTGCAAATTTGAATCATTGAGGCTCAACACAATGCACTGGTGGCATCAGAGGAAACCCTATCAGTACAAAACCCTACTCACTCACTCAGAGGGGAGCCTTCTCAGCGCAGAACCCACTCGCTCAGAAAACCTTAAACCCCTCTCAGAGCAGGTCGTTCTCAAAGTGGAATAGGAACTTACCAGCGGAACGGGGCCATAGGGAAGAGCGCGTTGAGAAAGAATGCAGCCCGCAATATTGTCCGCACTCCGGAGAAGACGAAACACCAGGTGCCAGGAGATGACGACTGGAGCCCCTTCAGCGTTCACTGGCGTTGACTATTATCGACCAGCTACCAGGTTAGCTTCTAGGACCTTCCACGTCAGCGTGTGATCTGCCGTGTGGTTTCTCGAGGCCAGAGAGCCATTGACATCTGAAAGGATTAAGGAGGGAAGGAGAGATGCAACAGAATGATTCGACGAATCACGGAAAGCGCAAAGAGAAGCACAGCGGCAGCAAGCAAGGAGCATGGACGATCGATGAGACGCAGCGGGATACACGGAAGAAGATTACGTACGAAGAAAAGGTACGCGTAGAGACCTCATTCGTCAGCTGACATCATCATGAGGGTGGTTAACCCTCGATATGTCCCGAAAGATGGTTAATTGAAACTGTGATCTAATCACTGGTCTCAAACCTTGAGATTTGGTGGAAGGCGTGGTAATGAAGAGGAGAGGAAGGCGAGGGCAAGGGAGAGAAATGACGTCAAGGGAAGAGAGAAAGATGGGAAGCGCTAAACCACTGCGAGGGATTCAAGGCAATGTATGGCGGATCCCCCGTCCAGCAAGCCACGAGCCACCAGAGGCAGCAAGGAGAGGGCACAGAGGGACAAAACCACAGAAGGCATCACATGAATGCATGAAGGCGAGGCTTCCAAGCACATGCGAGGCTTCAGGCTGGTCTGCCTGGGGATGACGGGAGGGTTGGGGATCCTCGCTGGCAGCAGCTGCTACTGCTGCTGCGGCTTCCGTTACGGTGGTTACCACCGGCGGAAGGAGAGCAGCAGCAGCAGAGCGGGCAATGCGCACATGCAATCCCAGGGGGACGCCGGCGCGAATGCCCCCAACTCAAACCCTCTGCTTTTCCCAGGAAAATTTTTTAGAGAGAGTGAGAGAAAGGATAGAGTGAGTGAGAACAAGAGACGAAGACAGACGGTGGAGCTTTTGAGTCAGCGCCTCTCATCCGATGGATATCTAGTTTTGCTCATCACGGCTTATCAGCTAGAGCTTAATAACAGTTTGCATAATCACAGAGGCGAGACGAAGCGACATAACTTGAAGGAAAACATTACCAGATCTTAAGGGTCGAAAGAACTCAACGGGTAGGCGTGAAGGAACCCAGTGAGTTTGAGAAAGATCACCATTTGAAAATGAGACGCGGACACAATAAATTTGGAAGGAGGAAACGAAAGCATAGACGAACAACTACCTCGAAAATATACCTGGAAGATACGGAATCTGCGGATAAAGGTCCGACAGAAACCAAATCGGTGCCCATCCCGAATAGAATCAACTGGCGTCCACTTGAAACACTGATCTGGGAGGTTCAAGTCCGAAGGCCTTCACACAAAACACGACAGGAAACGAAGGCGAAACTAACTGATGGTTAGACGATGTTTTCGAAAGAATTGGAAAGCAGCGAGTGTGCAAAACTGCGAATCAGGACTCACCATTCTATCCAGCGGCAGCATAGTGACGGTCACTGAGGAAAGTAAGCCTCGCACGACTGCAAACTCAGCTTAAGGCGTAACCCAAACGTTGACGCTAACTAGGAAAGTCAGGAAACACCAATCGCAACAGGGCTCCATATACTTGGGCCACCATTGACATTCTGAGAGGGTTTTAGGTGGGAGATCTGTGAGAGACAGGGGAAGCGAGAATTGAAGGCTGGGAGGGAAGAGAGAACCAAAGTATTGTCAAAGCCGTTGCTCTTGTAGCGAAGGACTGGAAGGAGAAGGGAGAGCAGGTGCAGGGCAAGATGCTTGTACCGGTGCCCGAGGTCAATCGAAAGAGGTTAACTACATTCGATGTTCGATTAAGCTTTATACCACCATTACAACGTGATGTTTTCATCACCATATTTGTTATGATTTAGAAGATGTCAATGTACTATGATGAGAATACGTCGTCACTATTGCCATGAAAGCACAAGGTTATATAGGAGTGGACGTAATAGGGCGATAACCTCGGGACGTGGGTAGGTTCGGCAAATGTGGCGACGCTGTCGGGCACAACTCGAGAAAGGGTTGGGCCGAAAATGTAGGCCGAACGTGATGAGTCGAAGTGTTCGGGTGTACGCGGTAGCGGGCGACTCAGTAAGGAATGGAAATTCCTTACACTACCCCCCCCCCTCCTAAACGAGACCGTGGGCATCGGAGACATTCCGACGCTGGTATATGCCGTTAGAATCGGATGTGATTCTAGATCAGCGAGGGGCACCCAACTATCGTCTTCGGACGTGCGATCGCGCCAGCGGATGAGGAAATCAACCATCCGACGGTTCAGCTGCGTGGTGATGCGATGGCCGAGAATTTTCAAGGGCTCGGTCGTCGGTTTCCTGCAAAGGCGTCAGGTGTGGTACACCACGGTTGCGTGCCAAATCCGACGAACTCGGGACGTAGGGTCGTAGAAGACTGACGTGGACAGCCAGGTGATGGCGCCAATCAGCCGGGAGCCGAAGGTGGACAGTGACAGGTGTCACGAGGTTGGTCACTTGAAAAGGTCCGCAGAATCTGGGTCGGAGTTTGCTTGGGATCGGCAGTCGCAAATTGCGAGTGTCGAGGAGGACAAGATCTCCCACTTTGTAAATGACGTCGCGTCGATGTCGATCGGCTTGTCGGCTTGCGACCAGGTTAGCTTTCCGAATGGCCTCAGCTGCTTTGTCGCGAGTGGCGAGAATGTCTTCAGCAAATTTCTGGGACCGGGCACTGGTGACTCGATGTTCGGTGTAGAGGGTACTACCGGGTCTTGTCCGTAGTTGAGGAAAAATGGGGATTGATTGGTTGTGGCTGAGGTCGCGTTATTATACGCGAATTCTAGTAGCGGAAGAGATTTCTCCCATGTCGATGGGTCAGTACAGGTGGTGCGAATGAGCTACTCCATGGTTTGGTTAACGCGTTCGGTCTGCCCGTCGATTTGTGGGTGGTAGGCGGATGAAAATTTGAGTTTGGTGCCGAATTGGTCCCACAGGTGGCGCCAGAAATTCGATGTGAATTTTGGGTCTCGGTCTGAAATGATGGCGGAGGGCAGTCCGTGCAGGCGGATGACGTTCGTGATGAACAGCTGCGGAGTTTGTTCGGCGGTGATTGTCTGTTGGCAGGCGATGAAGTGCGCCATTTTTGTGAGTCGGTCAACGACCACGAGGATGGCGTCGTTTCCGCTGGGGCCGGCCGGCAGTCCTGTCACGTAGTCCATCGTGACATGATGCCAGGGTCACTCGGGCGGATCCAACGGCTGTAGTAGTCCGGCTGCTCGCTGATGCGACGATTTCATGATCTGGCAGGTAGTGCAAGAGGACACGTACTAGCGCACGTCATCGGCCATGTTCGGCCAGTAGTAATTCCGCTGCAACATCTTCGTCGTTTTATCGACGCCGTAATGTCCCGAGGTAGGGTTGTCGTGGGATTCCTGGATTAGGAGGGTACGAAGTAAATCGTAGCCTGGCACCCAAATGTGAGAAGTACCACGCTTATAAAAATATGGCCCGGTGGCTGTGGTATGCTGTTGATGGATGGCTGAGCGGAAAAAGGGATCGATCTTGTAGCCGTGGGTGAATAGTCCCGTAAGTAATGGGTTGGTCTGGGCGATTAGTATCGCAGCGGTATGGACAGTAGGGCGGGTCAAGGCATCGGCGATATTATTGGCACCCCGTTTGTAGGTGATGGTGTAGTGGAAGTTGGACTCGAGGAAATCGAGCCATCGGATCTGTCGTGGGTTGAGATTCGGTTGGGCGCGCAGGTACTGTAAGGATTTTGTGGTCCGTCCGCACTGTGACATCAGCTCCGGTCAGGTAGCACCGCCAGGTCTTGAACGCGTGGACGATCGCCAGCATTTCCTAGTCGTTGAGTGTATAGTTTTTTTCCGCTCCCCGCAGCTTCCGTAATTCGTAGGCGACTGGTTTTAACCCGTCGCCGAAGTCCTGGAGGAGAACTGCACCGATGGCGATGTCGCTGGCGTCGGTGACGACTTCGTATGGACGGTTGGGATCGGAGATGCGAAGGACGGGCGGCAACGTGAGGGCGATTTTGAGTTGATCGAATGCAGCTTGCTGCTTCTCACCCCACCAAAAACAATCGTGATCCTTCAATCGGTCGGTTAGCGGTGCAGATAACCCAGCCATATTGGGAATAAAGCGGCGGACGTAGTTGACAAAACCCAGAAAACTTTGGAGTTCCTTGAGGTTGGTCGGCGGCTTCCATTCCTGTATGGTCTTGATTTTCCTGGGTCGATTTTACCGCGTTCGGTAGAGACGACGTGGCCCAAAAACTCCAACTCCTGCTTAAGAAAGTCGCACTTAGACCATTTCGTGATGAGGCGATTCTTGTGCAGCAGCGTGAAGACAGCATCAAGATCCTTTAAGTGCTGCTCCCTGCTGCGGCTGTATATTAGGAGGTCGTCGAGGTAGATAATAATGCATTTATCCAGGAGTTCGCGAAAAACTCCGTTCACGGTCATCTGGAAGGTCGAGGGCGCGTTCGTGAGTCCAAAGGGCATCACCAGGTATTCGTAACTACCGTAGCGGGTTTGGAAGGCGGTCTTGTGGCAATCCTCGGCGGCGACGCGGATTTGGTGGTAACCTCCTCGCAGATCGATTTTCGAGAAGAACTTGGCTCCGCAAAGTTGGTCGAGTAGGTCGTCGGCTCGCGGGATTAGGTAACAGGACTTGATGGTGATGCGGTTGAGTGCGCGGTAGTCGATGCACATACAGAATCCGCCATCTTTTTTCGGTGTGAACAGTATGGGGGCGGCGTATGGGGATGTGCTTGGGCGGATAAAACCTTTCGTCATGAGGTAATCTAACTGCTGCTGCAATTCATCGAGTTCCGGTTGGCTGAGGCGAAATTGTCGCTGAACTGTCGGTTGTGCGCCGGGTTCCAGTTCGATGCGATGGTCTTCAGGTCGGCTTGGCGGAAGTCCGGTGGGTAGGTCGTCCGGGAAAATCTCGGGGTATTTTCGAATGAGTTCCGCTAAATTCGGAGGAACGGCTTCACACAGCTTCGTGATATCTTCCGCTGTTATCGGCGACGTTGACTTTACCCTCCACCAACACAGGGCGATCAGCAGTTTCGTCCCCCTTATTCGTCCGGGTACGGTCGATTGCAGCAATCGGGATCACGACCCGGTGGGGACTATGTGGTTTGAGCGAAGAAGCCTGCCCGTCAGTAAGGGGCCCGGTACTTACTGACGCGACCCATTTCCCGGTCGCTCCTCCGGCTTCTTCCCCATAGAATTCTGGATGGCTATGAACTCTTGGCAGTTGCGTTTGATGTGACCCGGTCGGCCACAGTGGTAGCATAGCCCCGTATTTCGCGGAGCAACTGCGTAAATGTCCACTGCGTCCATCCTTTTTATCGTGGTGCGCTGGTACTGTTCTCGAGGGCGACCTCCGTCGTAGAAGTTTGTCCTCGGCTTCGTGAGCGAATCAGCGTCTTCAGCGAGTTGGTTTTGTAACCGTTTCACAGGTCGTTGTAATTTTATCTGGGTCTGTATTTCAGGCTTCAGCCCGCCCATGTACCTGTCGACCTTCTCCAACTCGTGCATGTAGCCACAGCGATCCACCAACGTCAAGAATGACGCGGTGTCGTCGGACACAGCTCCCAGCTGCTTCCACATGCGTAGAGTCTCGCGCGCTTTGTCTGAGTCAGGAGCATGCTCAAACCGCTTCCGAAGCTCTGCGCACCACGTTGCCCACGTGCGAATGTGAGTTGTACCAAACAGCAAATCTGCTTCATCTTCGTCGCCGAATTCTTCGGACCACTCATGCTGTCCTTCTGTGCGAGTTGCCGCTGAGTCGACGATGACCTTCCACCACTGTAGGGCGGCCCCTTGCAGCAGTGTCAACGCGTGGCCGATCCGCTTCTGGTCGTCTCGGATGCCCGCCGCGTTAAAGTAGATATTCATGGCGAATATCCACTGCCGCACCGTCACGCCTTTATTAGCTGGGTCGAAAGGAGCAGGTTGCTGATATCTCACGCCGCCACTTGTCGAGCGCGGGGCTGTCGCCGCTAGCCGTGCCAGCTCCACTGGTGTCGGTTGCTGCTCACGCGCCTCGCTTCGTGCATCGTCGCCTGGCTCCTCTGAACGCCTTTCCTGCGCCTGGCGAAGTCGTTGGTTTTCGTCACGGAGGTTGTTTGACGACGCTTGTCAAATTATTCAACTGCTCCATTAATGCTTGCAGGTCTAC